GGCTCAAGTATAGCAGGGATCGTGGAGCTGGTGCGGGATCGGGCAGTGTTTTGTTCTGCTGTGCGTGGGGTCACTATGAGTCAGAAACAACTTGACAGCACCTAGCAACAACAACAACAACAACAACAAAGGCCTGGTGACCTACTTCTGAAAATCAGCCAATGAAAGCCCTATGGATCACAATGGCCTAATCTCATTGTGTACGAATTGCCATGAGTTTGAGGCCAGCTAGCAACAACTACATACAATATCAAAAATTTTTTGATAAAGCCACTCTTACTAAAGTTTACTAAATTACTTCATATTTTCTGAATATGGGCATGGCCATTTACTACAATTAGAATTTCATTTCACTAAGACTACTAAGGCATCAAAAGCATTTCAAATTCCTTTTAAGAAATATAAATTGGTAGTGTATGTAAAAGGGTTTGTGATTCCAACCTCCTTTATTATTTTTCTTACTTTCAAACACTCATTATATTCTGCTTTATACAGAAATGTCTGACACTTTACAAAGCCCTTTTACACACAATATTGTAGCAACCCTATGAGGTACATAACATATGAATTCTCACCATGAAGAGGTAGCACAGTATGCAGAAGCAACATAATTAGATGACCTGGGTGGGAACTCCAGTTTTTACTAGCTTTGTGACCTCAGGGAGTGTTATCGATTTAACTTAGGTATGTCCCCCCAAAATATGTTATAAGTCTTAACCTCTATGCCTGTGGCTAGGAAGCTCTGGTGGCATAGTGCCTAAGCCACTGTTAACCAGAAGGCTGGCGGTTCAAACCCACCAGCCACCCCTTGGAAGGAAGACTGGATAATCTACTCCCATAGAGATACAGCCTCAGAAACCCAAGGGAGGGTTGCTATGAGTCAGAATTGACTCAATAGCAGTGAGTTTAGTTTTTTGGATGCCTGTGGTTAAAATTTCATTTAGGAAATGGTTTCTTTGTTATGTTAATGGGGCAGGATTAGTGTGGGGTGTATCTTGAGTCAACCTCTTTTGAGATATTATAGAGATTAAACAAGCAATCAAGAAAAGTAGACATGGGGGAAGGGAGATGTCAAGCTATATGAAGATTGCTAAGCAGCAGAAGCTTAGAAGAAACAAGGACCTTCCTCCAGAGCCAACAGAGACAGAAAGTCTTCCCCTAGAGCTGGTACCTTGAATTCAGATTTTTAGCTGCCTAAACTGTGAGAGAATAAATTTGTTTGTTAAAGTTATCCATTGTGGCATTTCTGTTATAGCAGCACTAGAACTAAGATAGGGAGGGAGACTTGGCTAAAATCATGAAATTAGCAAAAAGTCAAACCAGTTTAAATGTTTTATTTTTAAATTCTTACAGAACGTATTTCTGCAACCACAACTTCAGATCACACAAACAGGCTGATGAATTTATAAAATTCAAAGTGTCAAAAGCCTAAAAATATCCTAAGAAGTATTATTTAAGAAACAAAACTGGCATCTGATAAAATATAAACTTCCAGCTGAGATTATACAGTAATTCTTCACTCTTTCATAGGCGTATCTGCACCCAAGTCCATAAAAGTACAAGTAGAATACTAATACAGTAACTGTGTGCCTTCTCACATAGCAATTTAACCACATCTGTGAAATAGGCAATGAAATGAAAATAAAATAACAATTCCTGACTAAATACTGGAACCAATTCTGTTTAAAGTACACCTTCCTCTATACAAACTTTTATATTTGAAAAGTTATGTGCAACAAATTCTTTTTGATTTTGTAAATGCCTTGACTCTTAAGCCATCCACCCTTAAAATCATGTAAGCTGGGATTCCATATCCAGGCCATCTAATTATGTTACTTCTGCAATACTTAAGAGGGACAGCTATTAATCCATTTAACCCATTATAAAAGTTTTTTTAAAAATACAAAGAAACGACACAGACCAGTCACTTTCTTTCTGGAGAGGTGAAAAGTAGCTGTTCTTCCAATTCTCAGTAACACTATGCTATTCTGGCTATCTAATATAACAAAAATAAAATTTTAAAGAAGCAAATTTTAAAGAAGGCGGTATAATGTGGAACAAACATGGAAATGAATTAGGAAATCTGGGTTTAATAAGAGCTGTACTATTAGACAGTTATGAGACCTTGGCCTCTCTGAATCTTGTTTCCTCATCTGAAATAATAGATTTGTTTGCCAAAGATTTTTATTATATACAATATAAAGATTTTTTTAAAAAAGGAATTTCACAGGGAATTCATTTTGCAAAGCAAAAAAATACAAATATCACTTGGTCACAATAATATCCCCTTTAGTCCTCAAAATTAGATTTCATATGCATAGAATTTAGACCAATACCTTGCACACAGTATGTACTCAATTAATATTTGGGGAATAAGAGCTCTGGTGGTGCAGTGCCTAAGGTATTTGACTGCTAACTGGAAGGTTGGTGGTTCAAACCCACCAGCTGCTCCATGGAACGAAGATGGGGCAATCTATTTCTGTAAAGATTTACCACCTTAGAAACCCAACAGGGGTTGCTATCAGTTGGAATCAACTCAATGGCAGTGAAGTTTTTTTTTTAAGTGAATGAAACAGATTTTCTATATTGGGGCCAACATGTGAAACCTGATGACAGACAAACCAGATGGGGAGATTATGGATTCAATTATGTTTAACTAAAAAGACATGTTGAAGTCCTAAACCCTAGTACCTGTAGATATGACCTTTTGGAAACAGAGTCTTTGAAGATGTTAACATGAGGTCATATAGGAAGTAGTATTAGTCCTAATCCAATCTGAATGGTGTCCTTATAAAAGAGGAAAGGAGACAAAGATACACACAGAAGGAATATGCACTGCAGTTGCATGCCAAGGAATGTCTGAGACTTTGAGAAGCTGGTAGAGACAAGAAAAGATCTTTCCTAGAGCCCTGAGAGAGAGCATGACCCTGCTGACAGCCTGAATTTGAACTTCTAGACTCCAGAACTGTAAACAATAATTTTCTGTCATTTTTAGCCACTCACTTTGTAGTACTTCATTACCGCAGCAGTAGAAAACTAATACAGAAAGGAAGACATAAAGCTATATTCTTAGAGAACACAATTGAATATGCAAAAAATCCCAAGGAATTTTCCAAGAAGCTACGAGAACTGGTAAGTAAATTTAGGTTCACAAGATAAAAGATTATATATATTACTTGTATACCCTAGCAAAAACAATTGGAAAATTAAAAATTTTAAATTCTATTTGTAATCACATCAAAAACAGGTAATACTTAAAATTTAATATTATCTGTATAAGATCTGTATGCTAAAAACTATAAAATGCTACTGAAAGAAATTAAAGATCTAATAAACAGAGAAACATGATACTCCTGGATTGGAAGACTTACTTTTTAAAAAAAATTATTGGCAATTCTCCCCAAATTGATCTATAGAACCAATATAATTCTACTTAAAATCCCAGCAGGCCTTTTCATAATCTGATTGTAAAATTTTATAAATTTTTTTCATTTTGGAAAAACAAAAGACCGAGAAGAGCCAAAACAATTTTACAAATACAGAACGAAGTTGGAGGGCTAACACTACCTTATCTCAAGACTTACTTTAAAACTACAGTAAATAAAATAGTATGCTATTGGCATGAGGATAGATCTACAGGTCAATGGAACAGAAAAGACTTGAGAAATAAACCCACATGTATGATCAATTTTCAACAAAGTAGCTAACATACTTTGTAACTGTTCTCCTTGAATATGCTGCTGTTGTTAGGCACCTTCAAGTCCGCTCCGACTCTCAGTGACACAGTGACGAAGGAAACACTCCTGGTCCTGTGCCAGCCTCACAATCCTTGCTCCTTGAATATGTTATCCCTTAAATTACTTCGTACCTCAAGTATGTATTAATATAGTTTTAGATGCAATGTAAAACTCCTTCCATGGAAGACTTTATCAAATAGAAAAAGAACAATCAAAGCTATGAATCACCAGACATACTCCAGGAGAGACTGCCCCCTTGTGCCAATCAATAATTTTCAATGGATTAAGAAAGAACGCTAGTAACTATTTCCAACACGAGTAGCATCTAGGTATCTAAAAAGGTCTTGATCATTCAGTGTTCTGATTTCAACAATTTATATTTAAAGTGATGATCTTTAAAGAAAAATAAATTAAACAGGTATATTGCTCATATGGACATGACTAATTTATGGCATTTAGCAGCAAATATCAATGTAATTCTCTAGCATTTAATTATCATGGGTACCAGTTGCTCAAGAGCATAGAGACTGAATTCACAGAGATAAGTGATTTTCTAGTCTTTAAGCTCTGTAACAAAATACAGAATAAATATTAAAGAAACCAACACATTCTCTTTTATAACCGTATTAGCCTATAATTTGAAAAACAGATGGGAAGCAGGCATTGATTGAGTATAGTGACTTATCTAAAACTTTATATAAATAGTTCATCCAAATGTTTAGGCATTTTATTCTTAATTCTAGAAAAATTACTTATTTTCTTTGGATTTGATATGTAGCTTTATCATTTATAAAACTTTTTGACATATATTAATGGTAACAGCTCTTCAAATATAAGTCATTATCAATATTATTACTATTATTATTACTAATAAGTTAGAGTAATGGATAAAAGCATTGACAGATTAAGGCAATGAAAAACACATTAAAGATAACAAGTGATAGCAATGTAGATTTTGGAGACTCCACAGTACATCTTTTCCAATTATGGTCAGAATAATTGTAATTCCTTCTCTATAGGACAGGGTCAATAGGATAATTAAATGATTTAGTACTGATAACACACGTAATATACTAAACATATAAATGTTTGTTAAATAAGGAACAGAATTTGGAAAACTACAAAGTATGCATACATTCAATAATACTTACTTTCGAAGGTGGTCATGCTCTTTCAAAAACAACTCAGTTCTTCTATTGTTTACCCCAGACCCACTTTTATATGACCTAGGGCAAAAATAAGAGAAAATTTAAGAACATTTTTGGCAGATACTACAAAATCAGATTAAGTGACTGAAGCTACTGATATCCAAAGTGGACAAATTGAGTGTTCACAGTTATGAGTAAACAAATGAAATTTTTAAATCTTTGTCATCTTCCTCTAAAATGGCATCTTTTATAGATAAATATGAATGTCTCTCAAATTTAGGCCTAAGAGTTTCCTATGTTTTTCCACCAAAACAACCCAACATTCTTAAACAAACAAAAAAAACCCCTCACTTGTACAACAATTGGTCTCTATTCACCTGGAATAACAGAGGAAGAAAGAGAGTTAGAACAGGAGGAGGATATGGAATATGTGGTTAACTGCCTCCATGAACAATTGCCTCCTTTGCCGTGAGACCAGAACTGGAAGGTGCTCAGCTGCTGTTACTAAACATTTTGATCAAAGATTCCACAGCAAAATCCTGATCAAAAGGAGGAAAAGGCAGAACAGAATTTCAAATTCTCCTGGACTTCAGACTTTCTGGAGCCATGTGGGTGGATGAACCCTTGAAACGACTGCTCTGAAATAATCTTTAAACCTTAAACCAAAAAATATTTCCTGATATCATCTCAAAACTGAACAATAGCTTAACTAGTAAAAAGGGACTGCCTTGAGCATTAAGCTCTTTTAAGAACTATCTTTATGAGGGAAAGCTGGACAGACAATGTATAGATAAGAAGAGCACAGGGACAGGGTGGTCACAGGGAGGAGAGGGGAAGAGAGTTGTTTTATGGTTGGGGATGGTAATTGGGACTATGAAATCAGATGTGTATGAACTGCTGAATGTAAAACAAGTTTGCTTTGTAAATTTGCACCCAAAGCACAAT